CTTATTTCTATAAGCAAACTTTTGTAAAAGAGGTTATAAAATATACTTCACACTTCCCGTTCAGTTCATCAGCATCGTAAAGAGAAATACGCTCCTGACGGTCGATTTTTTTCGTCGTGTCAGCACCGTGCTCAAAAATAGTCTTAAGCGAGCGAACACCTGGCGCTTTATTCACATCCACTAGAACTTTTGCTGGCTCCAGAACTCCTGGAAAAGACGTCATCCCTGCTAATTTAGCACAGTGAAAAGTTCTTTTGATATGATTTGTAAAAATTAAGTAGCTAGGATTTTTAATGGGGAAGGCTTATTTTGTTCGGAAAACGCCCCAAGTAAACCAAACAGTTAAGTTTATCCAACAATTCCTTTTTTAGAAATAATCAGGAATACCAAGAGTACCCTAACAATCGATGTGAAGATCCCATTCCAGTGCTGTCAAAGCAATGTTTCCTAGAAGTCAAGCACAGCTGTACCAAGCGTATGCTGCACATCGCCAGTTAGCTGTTGGTGAGCTCGGGTACTCGGCCTCGTCCTTGTTGGGCTGTCTCTGGGCTCTGTTTGTCGGCTTCTTGGCGGCATTTCAAGGTAGTAGGGTTCAGCTCCTTCGTGGACCAGCTGGGTCACCTGCACAACCCACCGCAACAAAACACTACACAATATTGCCACGATACTGCACAATACTGACTTTTGCCTCAGAAATAGCGGCCTTATACAGGCCGCTTCACGTCATCACATGCTTTATCTAGGAGGGATCATGACGCAACACTATCATTCAAATTGCTTATGCCAACTTCCACATTACAAAGAAAGTAACTGCAAATAATTTTATTTTTAACTTGTCGTTTTCAGAATTCTACCACTAATATTAATAATTGCTTCCAAAGTACATCAAAACTTAAGTAAACGCCAGAGCTTTTGAGATTTTGCGTTCGCAAACAAATTATCATCGCGCAAAGAAATGGTACCTGTCGGTGTTATCTGTAAAACATCTTTTCGTGCATCAGTGTGTTTTTGCCGCACGTCCGCTTTCGACAACTGAAAAAGCGGCGAAAAAATCACTCAAAAAGATGCGCTCAAAAAGGAAGTGAAAAGGGAGCTTTTTACTCTATGACCGTGATAAAAATATAAAATAAATGCCAAAACGAGGCTAAAAAACTGGTTGAGGATTTTCTCTAGAAACAGTACGCCTTAACTTGCAGAAACAGATATTCTTAAATTTTCAAACAGTACATTTTAGACCACTAGATTTGGCTTTTATGCTCTAAATTATATTCTTTGCGCTG